CTCGCTAAAATCAATTTTTAAATATTTTTTAAAATAGTGAAGATGGCTGGGCTGGTGTGGCTCAGCGATTGAGCATCAACCCATGAACCAGGAGGTCATGGTTCTATTCCTGGTCAGGGCACATGCCCGGGTTTCGGGCTCAATCCCCAGTAGGGAGTGTGCCGGAGGCAGCCAATCAGTGATTCTCATCATTGATGTTTCTATCTCTCTCTCCCTCTCCCTTCCTCTCTGAAATCAATAAAAATATATTTTAAAGAAATAGTAAAGACGATAAATTTGGTTATATATGTTCCCATAGTTAAAATTGTTAAAATAAATAAAAAGGAAGGAGAGAGGATGGAAGGAAGGAAAAAGCAGTTTGGAAGACAAACTTAAAACCCTGGGAAGAGGAAGGTAAAATTGAGGGGTTGTGTGGGGTGGGTTGGGGTAGAGGGGAGAGGATGGGGTGAGCAGGGGCCTCAGCCACCAGTCCTGCTGTGTGTGAGGTGGGGCTGTGTGATGGGAAGGCCGGTGACTCAGGGCCCCAGCTGCCCCCACCATCCCAAATGGGCATGGCATTCTGGGCAGGTCCAAACGGAAGCCCACTCAGGGCCTGAGGAAGCCCTGATAGCCATCCCAGCTCTGCGGTTCTCACCAGGGAACAGAGCAAACAAGGCACCAGGGGTAGGCTGTTCACCCCCATGCTGCCTCGTGGAGTGAGTGCCCATCTGTGCCAGATTCTGGGCACAAGGCTGAGCAAACCGTAGGCCCCACCCTCGTAGGCATCCAGCCTGGTTGAGAGGCACAACTGCACACCTGAAAACCATTGCCCCTTGGGCCACCAGGAGCTCACATTTCCTGATCACCTACTATGCGCAGGTGCAGGAGCTTTACACAATTCATTTGGGTAAGTCTCAACACCACCCTAACAGGTGGGACTAACAACAAACCCCATTTAACAGACAAGGAAACAGAAACACAGCAAGGTGCAGCCAAACTGGCCCCTAACCATCCAACTACACTCCAATTTAATATATAAATAAAAACAACCAAATAGCCCAAATCTCCAAACATAAACCTCCACTGCCCCACCGAGGTGTGCCTTGCCAAGGAAAGGTGAGCCCTGAGCAAGAAACAGCGTTTGGACATTTCCCCAGACATTGACTTAAGACCAGATGCTTGCGAAGTTGTTTTTTTAAACAAAACAATATTTTATTGGCATATTCTCAAGGTTCTGTATAAATATAAAGTGCTAAGTTTCCAACCCCCGCCCACGGGGCGGGAGGAAGTAGGGGAGGGAGTGTTAAATATCAGTTGAACACAAATAACTTTCCAGCGCCAACAGGGCGTGAAATGCTCAAATACACACACGCAAGCAAGAGGCGTCCACACAAGGGGCGCGTCTGTTCTCCAAGCCCAGCTCCCTAGAAGCATGGGGCTCAGGCTCCAGGCCCTGGGGTGCGCCACCCTAGATGGGCTCCTGGTTGTCACAGCTTGTCCCTTGGGCTCTCAGGCTGCCAAGGGCTTCAACACAGTGGTGGGGCCACTGGGTCCACGGGTGTAAAGTCCAGTTAGTTTCTGCCAGAGGATGGGGGAGGAGGGAAGTAGACAAACCCTCACTCTTGTCCCCAGATGAGGGCCAGCCCTCAGACCCTAGCAGAAGAGCACCAGATGAGAGTCCAGTATTCCTGTACTTCCAGCGCCCCCACCTGGGAGCTTTCCAAACTCCGAGGAAGGGGCAGTTCTCCCTGAGGTGAGGGGGGCTGTGAGGCCCCCAAGGACAGCCTAGCTGTCCCAGGTCAGCGCCCCTGGAACCACAGCTGTGTGCACCTCAGTGACATAGCACCTGAGTCTCAAACTGGAGCAGCTGCCCCATGAAACTGAAATTGGGGGAGATGACCCCCCGGCGTTGCTTAACAAAGTCAAAGGCCTCATCCAGCCGCACGCGGTGGCTCTGTATGAGGTATGCCAGGCAGATGGTGGCAGAGCGGGAGATGCCCGCCTGGCAGTGCACCAGCACCCGGCCCCCACTGTTCTTCACAGAATCTGCAAGGGAAAAGGGCGGGGGTCAGATGGGAAGTTGAACAGGGAGGAAACCATGCCCCAAGTCCGTCCCCTGAACCCTTCCATCCTGGGGCCAAGTACCCCTCGTACCGATGAAGCCTATGGCCTCCTGAAACCAGGCGCTGATCTCCACCATCTGGTTGTCCTCCACCGGGATGCTCTTGTAGCGCAGAAGGCCCTCGAAGTGGTTGGGGCAGCTGGCGGAGACGTTGAGGACGGCGGTGATGCCACAGGCCTTCAGGCCCTGCAGATCCGACGAGTGGCTGCAGCTGCCCAGGAAGAGGTAGGGCAAGATCTCCACCGGGCCACCCTGGAGGAAGAGGGGAGGGAAGGGGTGAGGCCCACTCCACTCAGGCCTGGAGGAGCCCCGGGCCAGTCCTGACCAAGACCAGGCTTCTGGGGGTCTGAGGACACCAAGGCAGGCGCACACAGCACTCACGGATAAACACATCTCCCTTGAGCCTCAAAGGTGGCTGCAAACATCCACAGACCACAGACCCACACCAGGCACAGTGACAAGGAGCTTTGATTTCAACTCACCTGGTCATAGAAGGGAACCCTGGGGTCTGAGCGGCTGCTTTCTGCCCCAGCAGGAGGCATCGCTGGGGCCGGCGACTCGGAGCACAGGTCGGGACAGCAGGCCTGGAAGGCATCGAAGCCTCCTACAGGGGAGGACAGGGGCTCAGTCAGCGGGAGGCCGGGGAGGGAGGGGCGCGGGAGGGCTGGACAGGGAAAGTGGGGCCAGCGCTCACCTCGAAGGAAGCACACAGTGGTGGTAACCGGCGTGGGTCTCGTGCAGCAGCGCAGCCAGCAGCACCCGGGCGG